ACTTAGTTCGACATTACTTGTGATATATGGTCTCAGAGGCAAAGAGACCATGTCCCCTTATTGTTGTGAGCAGTTTCTCAGCTGGTTCTAAAACAGTTCACCACCCATCAAACTCCAAATGAACAACCCCTCTATTGCTCTTGATCCTTTGATTATCAGCTTCTTCCGTCCTTCTTAATTGCAAAAAATAATAATAATAAAAAATGAAATTTGGTTTGAATAGTACTTTTTAACAGACAGTTGAATGTCTATTACAAGTTCTTGGTACACACGGTGGTTCAGGTGGATTTTATAGTTCCATCAGACGATTGAGATTCATGATAAGTCGCTGGTAGCATTCTCTGTGATATCCTTGATGTTATTCATTGACATCTGATATGAGAGCACATGTGTCTGGCATTTCATGAACTGAAATCAACGGTTGGGAAAGTATTTTGCTCCGAGTGTTTTATACTTTGGAAAATCTATTTTCACAATCCTTAGAGTTAGGCAGTACTTGTAGTGGGCTCATATTGTAAGCCTGGGACATTGAATACGCATATTTATTTTTCCTGTGTCAGTGAACCTTCATTGCTACCATCTCGTTTCGCTTCTAGGGTGGGCCTAAATATCCGACAGGTATCGCTGATTGGCTTGACTGAATCATCGTTTGCAAAATAAAACTTTGACTATTATGTTTATCTATACAACTTGATTACACCATGGATCTGGAAAGAGAAAATTAAAGACTACTAAAAAATATATCTGTTTAAAAATGAACTGGAATAAATCGAACCCAGTGAAAGACAAAATATCCAGGTGAACAAATAGGACCTTAAACCAAATGTTATTTTCATTGGATCTCTCCTGTTTGAAGTGTGATTGCTCCGTTGTTAGGCGTGATATCGCTATGGTTCTGGTGTAAAATAAAAGCTGCTTGGCAATGAAATATCATTTCGTATAATTTTCTTAGATTATTCCATAAATATTTATTCGTGAAATAAAAACAATTGAAATAAGACTCATCTTCATGACGTAAATACGGAAGACTATGGCATTTATTACTCCATTAAAGTTTGATGATTCATACACTGATAAAAATGAAAATATTTATAAGCATATGTGATGATGAAGAATAAATTCAACTTTCATTTGATGTATTATTTGTGGTTTTTATAGGCAGTTCTGTGTCTCTGAATGACAAAATATTATGGTTCTTAAATAGTGCTTGACGCTGAATGGCGAAAAATGCATTCAATGGTATCTCCACGTGCTCATAATAGGTAGTGCTTCACAAAATTTTCAATGTTAACATTCTAGTTCATGCTTAGGACATCTTAAGACATCAACAAAGCATAGTCCGTAATCTGTAGTATCCTAAAATATTTCTAAAGATATCATTTACTGTTTTTTTATTCGCTCTGTGTTTAGTTTACTCATTCTGATGCTTGTTAAACATGCAAATATAAAATGTTACCTTTCCAACGTTTAAAATATTTGAACAGCCATTTATTACGAAATGTTATTGTCATCATTGTCAATACAGTAGTGGTTTTTAAGAGATATATCGTTATAGTGAAACTTCCTTTCAAACTTAGACAAATCAAATCGTCATTTTTTAGATCTTCAGATAGGAAGTTATCTCCCTCAGAAATCTGAAGCCTGTTTGCGGCTATGCCAGGGAGAATCGAAATCGTGTTGTGACGCAAGAGCACAATGCACATGCGGGACTCACACAGGACATTACGCTTGCCTCTGCCAACCAGGATATTATGGAACAGGACTTCAAGGCAACTGTGAACGTAAGATATTTAAACATTTGTGCCTATTAGATTAAGACAGTGTTGTGAGAAAATATTAAATTTAGTTCGAGCACTGTCTTGTTTGTTTGTTTGAAGTTAACCACAAAGCTACACAATGGGCTATCTGTGCTCTGCCCACCACGGGTATCGAAACCCGGTTTGTACGTTGTAATTCCGCAGACATACCACTGTGCTAGGTGGGGGGGGGGGCGAGCACTGTCTAATATATGAATTTACTGCAATGTCAGAGATTGAGGTTTTTTTTTTTACTATATTGGAATGGCCATTTCTGGCTATTTGGCTTTTCCTACTGAACGTTTGAGGTTCGAAGTTTACTCATATTATCTTAATCAGTAAAGAACAAATACTGTTACTATCAGTTAATAAAAACAATATGTTATCTGATAAGTTATAATAATATCATATATTTAAGAAAAACAACAACTAAAATATATTCATCGTGTTTTTACTTTTATTCGTCATTTTTGAAAACGGGTTTTAGGGGAAAATAAACCTATACAATGAAAACTATTGATTTCAGATTTACAATCTTTCTCCATTTCAAACAGATCAATGATAAGGAGTATTATTGGAAGGAAATTTATATACCCTTAGGTATGAAAAGATTGTACTTGTTTAGATCAAAACATTGGCCCTACATCGCTCAGATGGTCCATTTAGCCGAAAAGTGCAATCAGGATAACCGCAGCTACAGATTTGATAAAAAGCAGCATGCTATTTTATGAATAAGTGCTAACAAACATTCTCAGTTTTGGTTTACGTGTCTAACAAACATACTAATTATCGATTGCAATAATTTTTCTCGTTTTCAATCATGAGCTGTGTTTTGTTTCTTCCCAATATTTGTTGGAGTTCCAGAAATGTACTTTATGAACAGTTCACCACATTGATAAAAATTGTTTTAACACCGTAATACATGTTATAAACAGATAGTTTTCACTTCTCTCTGTTGGACATTGTTCTAGCATCACTAATGTTTCATGGTAGTGTAAAACTAAGAAAAATCTAGAGCAGAAAAAATATCTTAAATGTGTTGTCTGTCATCCTTAGCAACTATATACACGAAGGTCAGATGATGGGGTAAATCAAGCTGGAAGGTTATTTATTTTACTAAGTCTACTTCAACATAATTGTTAGAAAATAGTGTAAAGTGATCCTCATACACACATGGATTTTTATACGATATATCAGAACTTGGCAATATCATAGTACGAGTAGGGAGGAGTTGCGTTTTGAATTTCGCTCAAAGCTACTCCAGAGTTATTTGCGCTAGCCGTCCCTAATTTAGAAGTGACATACTAGAGGGAAGGTAGTTAGTTAACACCACCTACCGCTAACTATTGGGCTATTCTTTACTAACGAACAATGGGATTGACCGTCACATTATAGTACTCCGACGGCTGAAAGGTCGAAAATGTTCATGTACGAGATTCGAACCCCACATCCCCAGATCGCGAGTCGAGCGTCTTAACCATTTAGCTATGCTAGGTCGAGGAGCTGACTTGTTTACTTGAGCAACAATCCACATTCAAACTGAATTTAATGGAATTTTGTCTGTCGGCTAAATAAAAATTGTATTGTGCATTTAACCTTGATCTTATTTTTAATTTGAAACTTTTTAGTGTGCATATTTGTATGATGTCTATTGCACACCATAGCCACCCCTATATAGAGTCTATTGACTCTACGATGTATATAATATATATATATATTATATTAACTTTTCATGTATGTACAGTTATTTTTACCTGTTATACTTTATATATATATATATATAAGGATATGATTATAGATCAATCACTAATGATTAAATTAACATGTCCTTATACACATGAAGATCGTTAGATATTTTTTTATGTTTTCCCATTGTTTTTATTTTTATATTATAACAAGTCACACTTTTATCGCAAGATTAGCATTGGGCTTAGGCAAATGTACTTTAATTTTTTATAGCTTGTCCTGAGGGTACTTATCATGTTGGGTCTGGTCCAGGAGACATTTCATCTTGTCAGTCATGTCCAGATGCCCAACATACTTCTCCATTGGCTAGCACAAGTCCTAATCAATGTACTTGCAAACCTGGATATGTAACTAATGGGAAGAAATGTGAAGGTGGGTATGAATTAAACTAATTATATATTCTAGCAAGGAATATTCATGATGTAGCATTATTATTGCATGGCATTTTGGAAATTATAATAGTGCATAGGAATGGCTGTAAAAGCAATTTTTCTAGCTAACAAAAGTAATGAACAAACACATGGGATTACCTTTTTTGTTTTGAGATTTTTTAAATGCATAGATGTTAAATACTCATGAGATTTTTTTAAATGTGTAGATGTTAAATACTCATGCAATTTTTTTTAGTTTTGATTTGACATAATCTTTTTGAGTTTTTTCTATTGAGAAAATGTTGTTACAGTTTCAGTGCATGTGGTAAATATCTCTTATTATCAGGGATTGGATTTTCGATATATTTGCCGAATATCTTCTAAGAATTGTAGTATATAAAAATGTTGACAGTGGACCAATTGATTCTTAATTTATACAGCAATTAATATTTAGTGCAGTGCCATGTAAAACGATATCAGTATACAAAGATAAGCAGTTTCAACAGTGTTGCTCTCATTTACAAAAGCATTATTGTTATGAAAATATAAGTACATAAAGCAACACTGAAATAAGTAAAACATTTATAAACTTTTTCTATTTAGTGATTGAGTGTCCTCCACTTTCACCTCCTGAACATGGTTATTTTGTGAATGGAATCTGCAGTTCTGTAATCCATGCTGCCTGTGGAATTCGTTGCGATTCAGGTTACAAACTAGTTGGAAGCAGTGTCCGCCTTTGCACAGTTGATGGGACATGGAGTGGGACAAATGTTAGGTGTGAAAGTAAGTATATGTAGTCTTTAAGAGTGGGATATGTCAGTTAGTGATCATGCATGGCAGACCTGTTATATTTTGCTTCTCCTGGTTTATATACTGATATTTTTACTTTGTAAATGTTCAAACAGGTTTTGGATGAAAGCTGTGATCTGGAAATTAATTATGTAGGTTGTAAGATTGTAGAATTGTTGACCTACTGGTTATACTACATTGACCAGAAGTATGATTAAAGTCATTTGAATCAAATTATTATCAAAAAATAATAGTTATTCTCTACATAGCCTTGATTTGATGCTACTTTAAAAAATGATATACACATAGATCATTAATAATTTTTTATATTGTACATAACTATTTCATTTTTAAACATATGTCCATTACCATACTTACAACTTAGTTAAATGGAAATAAGTTTACATGAAAAATGGGACAATTTTAGGTGATAGTGGCTGTAAACATCAGCTTTTGTGTTTAGCTATATTAAACTACACATGAGCTCAATTAGTATCCAATGTTTTTCTCAAAGTAATGTTTTGTAAATATAAATAACTGTGACTAAAGATCTTCAGTGTAAGAATTACATTTCAAGTATTAATACACACCAACAAATTCTGTGAAAACTGATCTCATTTTGAACATGATTGATGACTATGATTTAGGTTAATTATATATTTAGATATGTTAGATTTGTGTATCATAAGTCATAAACTAGTTTAGTTTAATCTAGAGTGACTATGAATTATGTACACTAAATAATTGTTTTCATTCTGGCCAGAGAAAACATGTTCATCACTTAGTGCCCCACATCATGGCAGTGTTCTCTGCACTACAGACAGCAATGTGTTTGAGACCAAATGTCACTTCAGTTGTGACCCTGGATACAAGTTAGTGGGATCTAAAATTCGAACCTGTTTAGCCATTGCTCTCTGGGATGGTCTTCCAGCTCTTTGTAGACGTAAGTTCTATTACAGTGGTTCTACATTCAAGCAATCATGGCAATCAAGCCAGTTTTAACTAATATTCTTGGAATGCATTTTTTGCTGTAAGTTTGTTTCCATTCTAAATAGGGATGGCTAGTGCAGATAGCCCTGGTGTAGATTTGTGCAAACTTCTAAACAAATCAAACCATTCTAAATTAATTTTTATTATCTCTTTATTTTCCAAACAGTGTAAAAAAATTAAAACTTTTTAACATTTAAATTATATTTTTGATGTTTTTATTAATTATCATTTTAATACTTGTACAATAATCATATGTCACATACATCGATTGTGAGGAATAATTACTAGCTTTAAAACTATACAAGAGTAGTGATTGGTGTTTATTACAATTAAATGTAAATTGGTTATATATATGCATGCTAATACGTTTTATAATATACTTGGTAGACAAGGATCTAAAGTAAGTTGTATATTTAAATTAAAGGGCTTATAAAGTGCCAAAGCTATAAAGAAGAGATATTTGCCCTTAACTTTTTGACACATTTTGAAACTCCCAGTATCTTCATTTCCCTCTGTTAGGTTTTGTATGGGCCAGATTCTTTATAGTAGGAGTCTATGACTTGTTGGTGATACATTTCAACAAACAGATAGCACACAATCTACTTATTTTAAAATATTACATTCAAAACAAGCTAAACGTATGCACAAAAGTTCATTACACTATTGGTTACCACAGTTGTATTCAGAGCTTTAAATAATTGTCTCCTTTTCATTAAAATCCACACAAGCAGGTTCAATTACCTTAGAACACCCTTGGATGAGACAAATTATTCTCCTCTATACCTGTTATTACAATATAAACTGTGAAACTCACTTTAGAAATCACCTCTATATGCTTTTTATGGCTAAACACACAATCATGCAGTCTAACTTCACTTTTATCTTCACTTTCACTAACAGGAGGTTTGAATAACATGACGTGAGTTCATAACAATTGAACTATGCAACAAATGATTCATAAATAGCTACCTAAGCTAACTTGTGATAAGTTATTGCTCCTAAAAATACTAAATTTAACACCCACACTTTATAATATTTAAATCATAATTCTCATATCAAATTTAAATGAGACAGTCATGTATATCTAACAGTAAACCCATCTTCATGAAAAATATTTACAACATTTTTAACACTACATATAAAGACTATTTTCAGTTCATACACAAAGTCTCTTCATATAGTCTGCACCCCTTATGTCTTTTCCCTATTGAGATATATCTTCAACAGATTGGTGAAATACATCATGGTCTTCCACTCCACTTTCACTTTATAGTTTATTTTTTTACCATTTCCTGTACTTCAAAAGGATCTTCCACTGCATGATGAATTTTTTGTTGTCTGTGGGTAGCAGAACTAAGACTTTCTGTCTAACCTTGAAATGTCAATCATTAATCTTGTCATAGAAACACTTCTGATTGCACTGAGCTGCATACAAGCTTTCTTGGGTGAGTTGACAGATCTTCTCTATTCAGTCTCTGAGGTCTAACATGTATTGGTATATTTTCCTCACTTCTGACTCTTCTCCTATCCACAGGGTTGTATGGGGTGGTAAAGAGTTGCCTAATGATGATGAGTCTGCACACCTCTTTCATAAGTTTCGAGGTAAACTGGGTCCCTCAGTCACTCAATACTTCTTTTAGAAAGCCTACTCTGCAGAACACTTCCAGGAGGGCTTCTGCTACTCTCTCTATCTCTTATCTTTGGTAGTGCTGTGGCTTCTGGATAATGTTTTGCATAGTCAACTACTGTCAGCACATACTGGTTGCTCTTGTCAGAAACAAGTACTTGTGATCTGACACAGCTACTCTGCTGAATGGCTCTTCTATGAGAGGCATCTTGGCTACCTTTCCTCTAGGTAATGTCCTTTGGCAGACATGGTGGTGACTGATGATGCTTCATTAGCTTTATCTTTGTCTGGTTCCTCCAAACTTATACTGCCTGGTATATTTCCAATCACCAAGTCATAGATGGGTGACTTCATACACATGGCCTCAAGGTCCTCCATGTAGTATGGAGTGTTCACCTTTATTCCTTTTTTGGGAAACTTTCTCACTGTTCCATCACTCAACACCCAAAAACATACCTTGCCTATCATCTGGTCATCAGATATTAGACTGATTCTCACTGCTGCACTACTGCATCCAGTGTCTTGTAGGACCTTCACTTTCTTGTCCTTGACACAGCCTTCATCTACTGGCATGTTGTGATTTGTTGGCACCTCTTGATGTTTGTCACATGCTCTAATCACTATTGGTACTGTTGAAGAATTTGCCAACTTGAGTTGACCATCAGTCATGCACTGTTTAATCATGAAAACAGCACTTCCTTATTGTAGTGAATCTGATGCATTGGCTTTGTTTTGTGTCTTCACATTTTTCCTGTTTCTTGCCAGCACCATCTTTGTAGGTAGCTCGAGCTGCTTCATGTTGAAATTTCTGCTGTTGCTCGTTGGTGACAGACTTGCACTCATTTGAAATGTGACCCATTTTATAACAAATATAGCATCTCTTCTCCCTTTTTATCCATTGAGTTGTTGTCTCTTGTTTCAACTTTAACTGGTTATTCTTGGAGTTTCCAGTTATTCTTCCTCCATGGACTTCCATATACTGCTTTGCCAGCTTGATCGTCTCATCCACATCTTTTGGTGCTATCTCTTTAGGAACAGTGGTGTGTCAGTTGAGCACATGATCATGAACTGTTTACGTATTAGTAGATCTGCCAGTTCCTTCAAAACTATTTTCACACTTGGCCATTTCAGTCCATCTTTTGAAGTATAACCGTAGATGCGCCCCAAACTAAAATACAGTTTCTCCAGTGTAAAGTTTGACTTCTCTGAATTTCTAGCAAGAACCTTTTTCAGTAAACTCATATATAGCATTTCAGCAATGCCACTTGTAACTTGTCATAGTCCATGACATGTTCTGACATCATGCCATGCATACACTTATAGGCCTTTTCCTGTGAAAAGTGGGCTGAGACAGACTGCCCAGTCACCTTTGTTCCAGTGCTGATTTTGAGTGAATCTATCATATCTCTCCAGGAAAGCATCTATTCCATCTTTCTATTCATCAAATTTGTCTGTTTGCTCTAACCCCATTGTCATTTTGGGCTTCTTCATCTTTCTGTTGGGCGAGTTTGGCAATCTCAATTTCTACTCTTATTTCCAGTCTCTCCTTTCTCTTATTTTCTTCTTTCTATTTTAGTATTTTCATCCTTTCTTCCTCTCTTCTCTGCCTCTCCTCCTCTCTCCTTTGTTGATGCTCTTCTCTCTCTAGTTCTTGTTATTATTTAACAAACTCTCATAGATTGCTATCTTTAAGCCCAAGTCACTTACCTCTCTCTACCCATTTATTAGTCAGTCAGCATAGTTATGTGGTGTTCTTGTAACCTCTACACTCTTTTTGCCACCACTACAGTTGTACATATATAAACCTACTTCCGCTGTTGTTCATTTCTTCTTTTACAGCCATTTACAACTGTATAATCCTGGCTGGCTCACCAATGTCAGGTTTTATAAGGCTACAATTCTTCACAGTAGATATCTGCAACTTGTTGGTGATATATTTCAACAATAAACAGACAGCACACAATTCACTTGTTTTAAAATAATATATTCAAAAAATATGTACAAAAATTCGTCACACAGTTAAATTGGTTATCAAAGTTATATCCAGAGCTTTAAATAATTGTCTCTTTTTTATCAAAGTCTATACAGGCTGATTCAATTACTTTAGAACACCCTTGGAAAAGGCAAATTATTCTCCTCTATCTCTGTTATTAAAATATAAGCTGTGATACTTTCATGTTAGAAATCTCCACTATACACTATATATGGCTAAACACACAATCTCATAGTCTAACTTCACTTTTGTTGTCACTTTCTACTAACTTTCTTTCTTTCTACTAACTTGGTCGCCTATATATATATATATATCTTGCTTGCCTGGGGGCTAGAACTTTCTACAAACTACAAGACGTTATGATGTAACAATACTTACTTAAAGCAATGAGAAAAATTCAGAAAGTTCGAGTAACATGACGTCAATTCACAGTCACGTAGCAAACCTGCGATAAGTTATTGCTCCTAAAATTACCAAATTTAACAATCACACTTTAGAACTATATAAATCATAACTCTCTTATTAAATTTAAATTAAACAGTGGTATATATCTAGCACCCTCATATTGAATGTTCTTTTCCTCAAAATGCATGTTTCATGCTTTGAGTTATTGAAAATTTGAAGTTGTACGGCTTTACATCAAAGTGTTTTGATGAATTGAACTTTGCATAGGAAATGAATTCCATCTTTCTTGTTTTATCTGTGTATATATATATATATATGCATGCTAGTAATGTTCTATTTATGTCTGTCAAATATTTTCTAATCAAATGTAATAAATTTAATCTTTTTTTTTTGCTCTCTCAATGTTTTATATTACAGGCATATTTCGTATTACTTTGAACTTATATTATCTATTTGATACTGATAATTATGGTTATAAAAGTCAAAAACAAATAGAAGTTTGATTTTTTACATTTGGTAGTAGTTTTTGTTTTTAATTTACATTCATCTTGGCTTGTAATACATGTGATATAAATTTTTACTATATTAATTGTTAATTAAATGGCTGTTCAATTTTATATCACTTAGCGGTAGACTGTCCTCCTCTGTCACCAATTTTTAATGGTCATGTGTCTCCTGCCAAATGTACTGAAAGCAAAATGAGGTATGGAGATGTTTGTATATACACCTGTAAACCAGGATTTGTTGTACGGGGTCCTGCAACCAGACGTTGTGAAGATCAGGGAGTTTGGGGAAATGAAGAGAAAAAAACAGTTTGTATAGGTGAGTGAAAAAAGGTTACGACTTCCATGCAATTGCAGGTTTCATATTTGAAGCTTTAAGACCAATATGAATCTGTAATATTTGACAGTTTTTCAAAATATTATGTTTATGTTCTTTTTATATATATATACATATGACTTCAATTGAACATTTTTTGTTTTATAAGGAAGCAAATGTCGAGATTAACTTTCTTAATTTTAAAGTCCCATTTCTCACAGGCACGGTATACACGCAGAGTATCATTTCCATATCGTCGAATCGTTTGTTTTATATGTCAAAGGGTTTTATAGATATTTTTAAAAAGACAGAATGTTGGATATACAAGACTGTTTAGTGTAACTTATTTAGTGTTAAATTATTTTAAAAGCAATAGTTATGACAAATTTCATTATGTAACTGGTAATACTTTGTTCATCTTGTGTGGAGTTCAATTGCTGTGGTATTGTTGACATCATCTTTCTCATAACCTCTTAAGTTTTTCTTGCTGTGTAAATGTGTTTAACAGCTGTATTGTAACAACAGAGATAGGAAAAATAATTTATTTTGTCAACTGGGGTCTAAAGTAACTGAACCAGCCTGTGTGAACTTTTGATGAAAAAATGAGAGAATTATTTAAAACTCTGAATACAACTGTGGTAACTAACAAAAGAAGTAAAGTTAAGTGTATATATATATTTATATATACATATATAAAAAGAAAAAAAAGTTAGGATGTTGAAAGTGAAGTTAGACTGCGGGATTGTTAGTTTAGCTACGACAGGCAATATTTCAAGGTGAGTTTCACAGTTTAAAAAAAATAAGGAGAATGATTTTTCTTGTCAAGGGATGTTCTAAAATAATTGAAACTGCCTGTGTGAACTTTGATGAAAAGGAGACAATTATTTAAAGTTCAGTATACAACTGTGGTAACTCATGGGGTAAAATAAGTGAATTATTCACTGACAGGAATAATATTGTGAGAAGAGAAAAATAATTTGTCTTGTCAATTAGATTCTAAAGTAATTGAATCAGCCTGTATGGACTTTTGACAAGAAAAGAGATTTATGTAGAGTTATAGATAAAACTGTGATTTCCTATAGTTTAAAGAATTTTCTACATACATTTGGCTAGTGTTTTAAAACAAGTGGATTGTTTGTGTTCATTTATTTTCCAAATTTATTGCCAACAAGTCACAGACACTTACTATAGAAGAATGCTCATATGTAAAACCCTGACACAGAACTATGATCTACATACCTCTTAGAAGTGATAGATACAGGTTGTCTAGAAATTATGTTAACAAACTTGTTAGGAAAAGTAAAATAGAAAAATCTGTTTATAGTTTCCAGACATAATTCATGATCAGGTAACTAAAGACATGATCAATTTTCTTGTCCAGTAGATTTATTGAGTGAACTAGAATAGGAACTTTAATAGCATTGACAGTTATCGCTTTATGATTTTTAGTTAAAATACAAGTTTGTTAATGATTCTCAGCAAAATTATAATGAAACAGTCCAAAGTTTATTTCCAGAGCCCATTTTGTAAGTGATTACAGTAATTATTATCTGATCAAAGCTACTGTAGATACAAGCAGAAAAACTGTTGTTTGAAAAACATATTCTATATTATGGCAAAATAGTTTAACCACATGCTACATTGATACTCTTTATATCATTTTGGAACGTGGAATAAGTCCAGAATACTGTTATGAGTGACTTTATTGCTTTGTAAAAAAGCATTTAATGTTCATAATGATCTGTTGAGCATATCCCATATTTTTGTAAATACATCTATATGATTTTGCTTCTCTTAACATTGGTTTGATGAGTTCCTTGAGATATTAAATTGTCTTAGTTGTTTGCTTTTCTGCTCTTTTTTAAAATAGATTATGTAAACTTGCATATACTTTGTTTCAAAGAGTACTAGTGTTTGTGTATGTTTAACATTTATATCTTTGAAAGAGTTAACTAAGTTTTGACATATCATAATGTTTTGGGACAACATAGAACCTATTAGTCCATCTCTGCTGTTCCATCCTCTAAACTAAATTAAAAAATATAATCTTAAATCCAACCCTTATCATTCATATACTTATAAAGCTTTTTCTTAAATTTACTGCCTCTACAACACCTGAAAGCCACCCATTCCAAAGGCCAAACACCCTGTTAGAAAAATGAAACAGTCTTAGCTGAATATGACTTTTACCTTGCCAAAATTTATATTTGTGTCTCTTAGCCCTACTATTCTCACTGTAACATTTGATTTTGACTTACTACTTATTTTGAAACACATTATATGAAACTAAAACTTGTCATGACCTATTTTGTTAGTTGATTAGTGCTATTCTAATTCTTTAGATGTCGAGCCTCCTGTCCTGAGATGTCCAGAAGACATTGTAGTTGATGCTGAAGAAAATGAGAGAGATTATATGGTAACTTGGAATGTACCTCAAGGTATTGACAACAGTGGAGAGATTCCTTCAGTCTCTGTTCTTCCAGCTGTTATTCCTCCACGTCGTTTTGCCATTGGTACTGCAACTATCACTTACACTGCAGAAGATAGAAGTCACAATACTGCATCATGCAGTTTTATGGTTACAGTTCGTGGTAAGTCTTTTTTTATAATCCAATTAATAACTAAAGTTGACTATAATTACTTAGAGCTGTTTAGAAAGGAATCAGATAGAAACACAAAATTATTATATACTGTTCTAATTACTTGAAAATAATGCTCTGTTTTGAATATGTGCCTATTTTTTTGTTTCTGATTAATTTAGTACAAGATGTTATTTATTCCTTCAAGACTATTAGTGTAATGAAGTTTACTAAAGATTGAATTCATTTTTTAGATGTACAACCTCCAACAATTGACAAGTGTGTATCACCTCCAAAATTCCTTTCCCGTGAAGCTCCAGTTACAGTATTTTGGGAAGAACCAATTTTTTCTGATAATTCTGGAAGTCCTGTAAATATAAGACGTTCCCACAGTCCAGGACTTTTCCCTTTGGGAGAAACAGTGGTAACATATGAAGCAGTTGATGAAGCAGGCAATAACAACACTTGTAATCTAACCATCACAGTTCAAGGTACAGAATCTTCTGTATGATTTTATTCTATGTAATGATTAGAGGTGAAGTTAAAAAATCGAGCTTTGAGGTGCCTCTCAGTTATCAACTAATTATAAAGTCATTGTTTGTATAGTTGGAGAGCTTCTTTTAGTAAAGAAATAACAAAGTTTGATGTTTTAAACTTCAACAGTTTCTTGAATGAATATAATTTGTTAAATTTGTGGTTTAACTTTGCATAAATTAAACGTTTTCATTAGAAAGTAATCATACTCCTTTAAATAGTTGTGGTAATGAGTAGGAGTGATTATTAAGATAAGTAAGTAAGTAATGTAAATAATAACTGATTTTAATAGCATTATAAAAAATTTTACTTGGAACTTTATCTTTCAAAAATTATTTGAAAGTCTTTTAATATCCTTAATAAGCTAAGTGCTGTTATCAGTAGAGATGTATGAGAAATAAGTTTTATAGTATTATCTGATATACTGTTTTATTTTGTAATTTCAATTAGAGCATGCCTGTTCCATTCCCTCTGATCCTGTGAATGGAAAAGCAAACTGCACAGAATCAGACTCTGGTGTCAATTGTTCATTGTCTTGTGAGGAAGGATATGCATTTGTAACTTCCCCACCATACAATTACTTTTGTGCATATGATGGTGTGTGGTTACCACGTGACAGGTTTCCTTTCCCTGATTGTGCAGGTATGGTATATTTTGCTGTTTTCATAGGACTAAGAAGCTTAACACTAACAAACTATCAGAAGTTGACTGCTTAACATTGTTACTTTTTCGAATATTGTTCCACAACGGTCAGTTCTGCTTATCCTCACAGTATGTTGAGGCTACTATTCTGAATAACAGTCTAGTGTATATTGCAATGAATTCGTATTATAGTCCCTTATTAAAACAGTCCATATTGGGATAATACTTTAATACATAGAAAATTAGCAATTATAATATGGATGTAGATTTTTTATATCAAAAGAAGAGTATAAAAGAAATATACAAGATTATGGCAGTTATAACAAACAACTAAAAGTGACAATCTCAGTTGATTGTTAAGGAATACTGAGACTTGATTTACCATGTAATTTAATATTTATTTTAGGAGTATTCTTTTTTGTTAATTATTTTATTGCATTTTCAAGAAAATATATTGTAATTGTTTTTAAAAGACATATTGGAACTAATCAACAAGAAGTAATACTACAAGCCATGTTTTACAGATGCTATTTCTATAAGATCTTAATTTTATTCATTTCAAAATAATTAAAATTTAGATTAACTGGAATTAATGGTATAATTATTGATATGAACAATCAAATTCAATCTTGTATTTGAATCTAATTAAAATCTGCTAAATATATGTCTTTTAATCATCTGAATTTCTTTAGATAATTAAAACTTTAAATTCTTTTTAAGTCAATTGTTTTCATCAGTTTTCTAAAAGTCAGTATTTGAGAAATTGAGTACTCTTTCTATACAATTTATACCCAATTTACTTAATTGTTTTCTTCTAACTTTTATAGTATTTTTCATATATGTGTGATGCAGTAAGTAACTGTAGAGTGTTTTCAATAAACTACATTTTCTCTGTTCTGCTTAAGTTACTCAGCTCTCCAATGCTATATCACAGACTGGTATTATTACTATCAGTTCTGATGGTGGAGATTGTGATGATCAGTTCCTTTTAAACCAGGTGAAATCTCATTTACACAGAAAAATTGAAAAGAAGGTGAGGGTTTTAGTATCTTATAATAAATAAAAAATTTGCGATTGATCACCTACATGTCAGATTGATTTGTTTCAAGCTTTCTTGTACAGGTGATAAAGTGAAATCAAACTAAGTTATTATTTAGTATTTCTTGGAGAATTGAAAGTTGAGACCAGGTAGTATTTGAACCAGATACTTTAGACAAATAAGTTACCTCATGTTTGAGTTTTCACTTCACTGCTAACTAAGGATGGAATGTGCAAGGACTCTTGAACTATGGCAATCAGCTTCTAAATCTTGGAATTCTTTAATGCAGTTGTTGGTTAAAAAAAAGTCACTGTTAAGTGTTTTAACTATATGGACTGTAAAGGTGGCACATATTCTTATAAATTAGTATTTCCTAAAAAAAAAAAAAAGTCAAACTTACAACTGAGACTGGGAAGGATTTGAACCATTGACTCTATTCACTGGGAAGTTACTTCAGCCAGTTAAGGTACCGTGTCTTGAATATTGCAAAATCGAAATCTTACAGATTCCATAAGTTAAAATATAATACTTTCTAGTGTGATACTACAATTTGAATATATAAATTTATAGAGTGAAATGTATTAAACAATACTGTATGAATTTTAAGTGTTAACATTTAAAATATCAAATATTTCTTTATTTATATTTACAAAATATATAGTTCAACTGCAATGCTGTACTCCTGTATGTATAACAAGCTAACACAAGTACTCTTAAGGTTTTGTCATTCTAGCTCACTAGTAGGTCATTATTCTCTTCCCAATTCTTGTAATAGTTTGATTGATTTCTATTTTAGGAAGTTCCTGTTTCTGAGATGATAACTTATCTACACACAAAGATATGCTATTTCCCTCATGCATCTACCCATGAGGTTTACATGCCACTAGGCTTGAGCTAATTCCCACCTAAATTCATGTTTTTAAAGTGAATTACACTGGTATGTAATGACATCATCGTGCAATAATAGCTCTTCACAATAGGAGGGCAACACAACCTCCACATGCAATAACTCCCCCCATCCATATACACTAATGATAACTTCATTCTTTTCCAGGCATTACGTTGAACATATGTGTTCAGAATTTCTTGTCTGAGTTCAACTTCATGAGATTTGCATTTGTTAACCAAATTTTAGTTTTCATTTTTATTGGCTTTTGTTTCAAAAGCTTTAATTCTTTTCCTGAATTCTCAAGTGATGTTGGCTTCTACTTGTACTGTGTGGCTTCCCCTATGATGTCCAGAGTATTGTTAACTGTTAGAGATATTACAGCCTTTGTTGAAGATCTTGTGTATTACCTCACTTTTAATAGGCCTCTTCCTCCCATCCATTCAACCATCATTCTTTCTCCTCAGTTGTGAGTAGCTAGTTAGACAATGATTTTAACTTGATTTATTTTGGGTAATGCCTTACTGATCTAGGAATGTCCTCAACCTTCCAAATTCTTTTGGTATATACTTTCTCAATTATGTTATCATCATTATTTTTCACCTTTAATATTTCCCATTTCTTTACTCCCTGGACCCAGTTTTTGGGTTTACTTTGTCTTTCATTCTTTGCATGATATTAAAGTTTATAGCATTTTCTTTCTCAAACAGCTCCATGCTCGCACCCACACACCTTATCTTCCTGATATTTATAACTCTTTTTCTGACATACAACTATTCTTCCTTTCTTTTCCAGATTTCATGTCTTTTGCCTGCTTGAGAAGCAGACATTTGCTTTCAACTTCACTTTCTATTCCCCATTTTTGCATTAGTCTTTTTTTCTCACAACTTTCCTATGTTATCTCTCTTACCTCCATTTGTTTTAAAGGGCACTTGATCATGTTCCAGTGGGATTTACTGGAGAGGCTCATTCCCTTCTCTTTGCCATCTTTGTCTGTTCCTCCTTACTTGGTTTCTCTATTATTGCGACTCGTTGGGTCTAGATGCATTCCTCATTAATTTACATCTTCCTTTTTCTTGTGCACATGTCTTGGTCTGGCTCTCTCTCTTTACTCAGATGTCTTTGGAAGTTTCTTGTTTCACTGAAGACCTGGGCTGGAATTATATGATTTCATTTCTTGTTATCTTCCCACATATTTGTATTTCTCAATCTTGCCCCTCGACTTCTATTCCGTGTCTGATTCAGTATACCCCTACCCTCCTCATTCCAGCTTCCAGACCTTACTCTTTCCCCATCATCCTGCTATCATATAACTGGGTCATATCTCTTCTTTTCAGTAACTACCTTGTCAAGTCAGGCCAGTGGATATCCAGGTTTTTTTCATGTTCTCTCCCGTGGTCTTTCTCTTCTTCCCATTTCCATTTCTACTACCTCTGACTCCATCAGTCTTCAGCATCTGAAAAATGTGGTTTTTGACCTTTTGGCTGAACATGCTATCGAGCGGGTACATACTCCCGTGTTTTTTTCCTTTTGTTTCTTTGTGGTCCAAAGACTGGGGACCATGATTTGGTGATTTGACCTATTGTCTTATAACTGTTTTCTGATTGTTCCACTATTCTCATTGATGACTTTCTTTTCTCTCTTGTGTTCTTTTTCACCTGATCTGCAGATGACCAAAGTCAATGTGTTGGATACCTTCCTATACATCCTGATTGCTCTGTTCTCCAGATGTTTTCTATGTTTTATCCTTTGGAATTATGTCTTTCAATTATATGTTCATCCCTTTGATACAGCTTTGGTCCCTTCTATATTAAAATATCCAAATCCTTTCACATACCCACCAATATTTGGTACATTTTGGCATTATCTTCAACTCTTTCTCAGCAGCACTCAGTCTTAATCAGCAAGCCATGGAATGTCTGGTCACCAGGATTTTAACATCTTATTCTCATACTGCACAAGATGTTCTTTTGCAATTCAGACTGTACCAATTCCATGGACTGTCATGAAAAAGTAGCATCAGGGAAGTGACTGTCCAGTTCTTTGGCTCACACTTGCCTGATTTTAAAAATAGGGTTTTGCAGCCTATCTCCAGTAAAGGATCTTCTGGCTGGTGGTCCAATGGGGATCCAGGCACTCCACCGAATCTTGCCATTTACAAGTTCCTAGCTACTAGGATGGTAGACCATTGAGAATCCTCAATGATTGGACTTAATGCAATACAATGAGAAGTAGGGAAGTGGTGACAATGTCAGTTTTGTATGAGCCACCACTCACACAGTTAATGTGCCTTTCTCTTGCAGCCATATTTTGTCCAGTAGGGTAGAGGTGAGTGTACTCCATATAGTCTAATTCCACCCTAGCCACACAATACACGTTAACTGCTTGTGTGCAGGTGCTTGGTTGATCATGATCTAATTCAACCCATCCCTGTGACACTTCAGGCTCTTATGTCTTTCCCCTCTTTCATCTAGGGCAGAGAGTATACCTTAGTTGAGACAAGATACAGTCTCCCTATGGAGCTCCTGGCATTGGGTGTCCCACTCCATGTGCTTTCTGTTTGGGCACTTTCTGAAGGGAGTTCATCTAGGTAAAATCTTGTCTCGGCACCTCCTCCACTTCAATGTGAGGTTCTAGCATTTCTGTATATATAGGTAAGTTATCATCTCAGAAGTTAACATTTTCCTAATTGGAGAATGTGTTTCTGACAGATAATTACATTCATTTCACTGTCCTAAAGTTGTTGAGCCCAACCTTGGGTCTGCTTAAGTTTTTTTATTTTCTATGTGTGCCCACTAACTAAGTCAGTCTCATAACTTGGCTGGCCTTTCAGAATAGGGTGAGTGGGACCTTAGCCTCAGAAGCATGTTCAGTCTTTAGACATTACTAGTCCCTACCTCTGAGAATATTCCATTACAGGTACAGGACAATGCTTTGCATTCTGACCCTGCCTATCTGTTACCACACCTTAGAATGTGCTTGACTGCACAGGCTCTATTGATCATTACTGTGTGGCTCCATAATTGGCATTAATGGTGAGGAGGTGCCTTTCTGAGTGTTGTCGAGTCCAGTCTTCTTCACTCTGGTTCTGAATCAAAATTTGATTGGCTATTTCATTTACTTGTTGTTGTCTAGGTTGTTACTTTCCTACCTAAGAGCCTTACTTTGGGTAAACCAGAGTTCATTATGACACTTTCTGGTGGAAAATATCATCATGGCTGCAAGCAAAGAAATCTGGTATATAGTGGGAAAGAAGAGCTTATGTTACATTCTTGTGATTCATGAGCAATAAGTCTCCTAGATTGTGGAAAGATGGAAAAGTCTAGGAAAATTGCTGTAGCTTTGTATTGTGTCAAGCACATTCAGAATTTGAAGTCACATGTGTTTTGACAGCATGAAAGGAATCCAACAAGAAAATGCTTTTAGTATTTCAGATGTAAGCACTTATTTGAAATTCATTTAAATTGTAAAATGTATAAAATTTCAAGGATGAGAATTTACAAACAATATGTCACATAATGACTTATAGGAAGTAGTGCAAGTGATTGAGAACAGCAAGACTTTGAAGTATCAGCTTCTGCCATAGCAAAATGGATATGAATTCCAAAGAAAGTTCACATGCTTTCAATGCATAACTCCAGGAGAAAAGCTGATGCAATGTTTTACTTTTCTTCAAAGGAGTTCCATTTAAATATTTTAAAACTTAACAATTATAATGTTAATTTTTATGAGGGTGCAGTTAAGACGTTCTCAAAAGTTATTTTATGTTACTTAATTAAAGACTTGGAAATAAAAAAATACCAAGTTGCTTGAGATTTATGTATGCTCATATTTCAAGCTTTTATATTAACAGAAAAAAGAAAGAATAGTATATTTGTAAAAAAATTACAAACAATTTTGTACATTGTATATTAAATGTAAATATGAATTTTCATAACTGGTACTAATATAGACCTTTTTTTCTACTTTAGGTGGCTAGTCTGTGTAAAGAAAATATGCTCTGTAATGTCAACAACTTTGCAACAATGTGTGATAATACATTTGAAGGTAGTTGCTTTTATCATGCATTTTCTTTTGTTCTCAGATTAAACAAACTTTATTCATTAATATCTGGAGTTATATCCCTTTAGTACAGGTGGGGTTTTGTTTAATTAGCTTAGAGTATGTAATAAGAAATACTGGTGTAGGTTCATAAAATTCAGTAAATCACTGGTGATTTTCATTGCTTACAAGATTAATTTTTTACTTTATTGGTATTTTTCATTTTGTAAATATAATTATTATTATTATTTATGTTATAAGAAAAAGATAATAATTTTTAAATCACAATTTGTTTGTATGGGCATGAACTCTCATTTGAAACAAATATTTTTTGCATTTTTCCATTTCTATTTTAATGTGCTATAATTATATTTTGTTTCTTTGATATAAAATTCAAATTAGATTTAATTGATAACTCACTTTAGACCTAATGTTTACTGCTCCTATTATTTTTGATCATTTACTTATTTTATATATTTTGAAAGTAAATCATTTTTCATTCAAACAGTCTTATTATTTGTATTTTTTCAGAAACTGAGGAAGAAACCAATGCCATTATATCACGAAAGAAAAGAAATGCAGTTTTTCTTACTAAAACAGGAGATGCTTATCCAGTATTTCATAGATATCAAAGGGAAATCTCTCAGGGTCAAAGAGGAGGACATAACTCACTGTTTACCAAGAACAACTTTAGCTCTAACATGCAAACCAAAAAGCTAACCCATCGATATTCACGAGCTAGCCAGAATGATCTCAGAGAACATCATCCACTACAAAACTTGGAGGATGAAGACCATTATCCTCAGTATGAACTAGATCCATTAGGCCAAGATAAAGAATTATGGAATAACATGTTTACAGAGGGTCCAAAATATTCTGTGTCTTCTGATCACCAAGAAAAAGAGATGAATTTGCCAGTTGGAAATATTAGAGGGCTAAGAATTGATACAGAAAAACACAAATTAACAAACAAGCATTCTTATAGGGAGCATTCACCAGAAGTTCAAAGCCTCAAAAAGAAACTTGACTTACAGTTTAAAATATTAGGTAAAATGAACAATGTTGTCTTTGGATAAGCACAATAGATACGCATTATAAACCTTAATTTTTTACATTTATGTATTTATATAACAAGCTTTTGTACAAGTAATAACGTATTTCATTATTTCATTTTACAGGAAAATTGCCTACAAAGTTCTTTTTAGATAGCCAAGAAGAGTTACTTAAAAGCATGGAAGAAATAATGAAAGAGCTACAACAAGCAGCTCGAGAAGGAGAATTTGACATCACATTAGGAAATAAAAAAATGGAAATAGAACGCTTAATTTTTTCAGAGAAAGATCCATTTTTCACTTGTGATCTTGGTAGTATTCCTCAAGGAGAAAAATGTCGTAAGTGCTACAAATATTTATATTAAACAAATATATCAATTTAGTATATTCTGTTTGGCAAAAGTAAATAATTATTATATTAAAGATTTGTCTGGTGCTAGACTTGTATATATTTAAAGATGCTTCTGTAGCAACATGCAGAGTAAATACAACTGCAGTATTATGATAAGTGATTTTACTTTACTCACAACTATCCGACATGAAAAAGAAAATTTTAGTTCTGAGCATATTAACTTAACTGTAAGGGAAGTTTTAAACTAGGGCTAGATAGTGATGAGGGCCAGAAAAAGAATAAGAGGCAGAGAAAAGTTTAGCAAAGGAAATGAGTATATAAGTAGTTATAAGGATAGGTTTAATCATTACTATTGTAATGCTAGAAGTATAAGAAATAAAATAGATGACTTTAGAGTACTGATAGGAATGGAGGATTTTCATATAATGGAAATAACTGAAACATGGTTAAACGTAGATGATTTTGATGACAGACATTGCTTTGAAAAACAGGGTTACAGGCTATTAAAAAGGAATAGAGTATTAAAGAGGGGGGGAGTGGCTTTATATGTAAAATGTGAAATTGGAGATATCAAAGATATTAACAAGAAGGTTAAATCCATTTGGGTTTCTATCAGTGGATATAAAGGGAAAAGGCTTTTAATGGGAATTTGTTACAGACCAGCAAATGATACTGATGAAATTAGTGAGAAACTTTACAAAGAGATTAAGATTTCAGCTGTTAATGAAGTCATGCTTATGGGTGATTTTAATTTCAGTGTTATAGATTGGAAATTGCTAGATGCAAATCATGAGGGAGAGAGGTTTCTGGAAACTGTTCAGGGTGGCTTTCTTCACCTATTAGTCAAGGAACCTACTAGGAACAATAATATGTTAGATTTATTGTTAACTTCAAATATAGAAATGATGGAGAGGATGGAAATTGGGGAACATCTGGGTGCAAGTGATTTAAAAAAAGGATTTAGATCATTTAGTGAGTTGGGCAAATAAATGGCAGATGGGTTATCATTATAATAAATGCAGGATAATGCATGCGGGTTATAATAATTTGAATTATAAGTATAATTTTGATTGGAATAACCTTAACAGTGTTATGAAGGAAAGGAATCTTGGTGTAATAGTCCATCAGTCTCTAAAACCATCCAAGCAGTGTGCTGTTGCTAGTGGTTGAGCAAATAGGATTTTAGGTTGTATTTACAGAAATACTGAATAAAGAGGTTATAAT